CCCCAAAACCCCAAAACCCCAAAACCCCGGATGAAGTGAGGGATATTGAAAGTTTAGTCATGAATTATGGTTAAGAGGTCTATACTGAGTGGGATAAAATATCTATAGATTGGAATCCGAATTTGTCAAGTGTTTTTCTAACATTTTGCTTTGTCATTCCTCATTTGTTTAATTTAATTCTTTTGAAATCATTCTTGAAATCTGTACATTGAGAAAGAGCTTCGATCAGATTGAAGAATCTTTCAGGATGGTTTCCCCAGTCATCATATTCAGGAGCACCACAGTAGGATAAATTTAATTTTTGCAATTTCGATCCACTCAGTCAATGTTGTAAAGCAGGAACGGTGTCTAGTGAAAGCTTACAATATCACAAACACAGGAGCTTTTGATTTTTGCAGATCACATGTAAAAGCATTTGCAATTGAGGTTGATTTATTTTCAAGGAATATAAATATAGTTCGCTTATTCCAGTAAAGCTTGTGTGAATAATCAAATCAGAAATTTGTTCTCAATCAATAAGCTTTCCTTGAAAATTCAAATGAAATCGATCAACTTCTTCAGGAAAAGATGAGATTATAAACTTCTTGACAAGGGGTATTTGTCAGTTTATCTTATCGACTCAAAGTCCGCTGTAATTTGGAATAATATGGTCTCCCATTGATTCCATAAACTCAACATCTCATTGAGATCCTCAACTTAAAACACGATTTTGGTATATATCTATTTCAATTTTTTTGCCAGTAATCATCTTGTATCATTGCTCAAAGTCGTTCTGAGTTACAGTCCCAACTGTATTTATGATTCTCTTCCTTCACTCTTCAAACCTTTTCTTGAGAGTTGTAAACTCTGTTTCTTTCTGCTCCAATTGCTCTTGAAGTGAGGCCACATCTATCTTTGTGCTTATGAATCTGTCTATTTTGTTCTTGCTGATCTTCAAATAATCTCACATCAAAGCCATGTAGTTCTGGACACAGAATTGTTTGAAGTCTTCATTACTCCGAAGTTGGGTAGCTAGAGTGGCTATTTCGTTTTCAATTTCTTGAAATTTGTGGACATCATTATTTTCTTTTGATTTGCTAATGTCTTTCTGCATTTGTATTGTCTGGTCTAAAAGTTGCTTTACCAAAGAAATAGAATTATACTCTTCTGATCCAGTAGAAACAGAGAAATTCTTGATACAAGTTTGGAGAACTTCAATTGCTTGCTTGATCTCTTGAATGTTTACAATTCTCTCCCAGTTTTCTTGCTGATCTTGCTTGTAATGTTCTTCTCAGATTCTGATCTTTATTTTCTTGTGCAAGTACTGAGCTTCATTATCTCAGTCTTCTGTATATCACTTGAGGATAGATTCCATATAAATAACATGAAACCTTGAACACTTATTAAGAGTATACATCACTATAATTGAGCAGAAGTGTATTATATTTCAATATTTTATATCAATCCTGGGGTTTTGGGGTTTTGGGGTTTTGGGGTTTTGGGG